GGAAATGTTTCTTCTGTTAGGTTCTATAGTGACTTTTTTCGTAGTCATTTGCATATTTTAGTATTATGCCCCCAAAATCAAATATCCCCTACTTTTTTTGAATAGTATATTACGCTTGGATGCATTGGAAGCGGTAAATTTGACCGTCGCTGAATCTTGCGCCGAACGAAAATTCTTTACTCAAATCTCGGACATAACTTAATGGGAGTGGCCTCTTAATGAAATCTTGGTGCTTTTTGTGCTGACATAAATTAAATATTACGCTTGAATGCATTGGAAGCGGTAAATTTGACCGTCACTGAATCTTGCGCCGAACATAAATTCTTTATTCAAATCTCGGACATAACTTCTGTAAACTTGTCATTTTGTACCAACCTTCTATACTACTGTCTACCATTGTGATGCATTCGATAATATTTATCCATTTTTGTGAAGAAAATCGATGAATTAATTTTATTTTATCAAAAAAGCACATGAACAAAAAAAACATCGCTAATTGTATCTCCTATTTACAGGGGGTGTAACTCTGTATGTAATATTATAGGAGGCGCTAAAACGTCTGTTTAACGATAAAGATAGTACTGTCACTGACTGTCTGTTCCAGGCTACACTACGACTCGAAAATTGCTTGCTACTTCTTCAATTTTTAATTAAAATGATTAAAATTTAACGACCTACCTGAAATTGTCACCCTTTTACTTTCTACCGCGCGTTAACTAATTTCAGACCAAGCTATTGTTATTTTTACATTTCTTTTTACCTGATCAGTGGGGGTCCAGTTAATTAACTACTACTCACGTGATTAGCGGGGGTGTTACAAAGAACGACAAGATGGTATCATTCAACAATGACCGTTGAATGGGCGATGTTTTGTTGAATTTATTAGTAAAATAGTTACCGCTGGCCGCGTTAGAGGAGTGACCGTTGAAAAAAGAGATGAAACAACAGAATTTTTACGGGGGGAATTTATCGTGACCGCTTACAAGGAGATGTCGCTGAATAGGAATGGCTGCTCATACAGATTCTACTGAATCAGATTGTAATTTAATTTGGAAATATGAAGGTCATTCTCTGGGCCTTCATCTGGTCCACAATCGGGGACCCATTTTAACTCCTTGTTGTTACATTCGATAGGGCCCCTTCTGTGCCAAAGGAGGGGTCGGTGGGTAATTTTGATTTGACCTTGAACTCCACTGGTAGACATCTATATGGTTATAATGCCGCTAGTTCGTCAGGAAATTTGTCTGTCTTTGAAAAGGACCCGCAGGGTTTCTTACTATGATTGAAGTTTGCAACTTATGTTCTAATACAATTTTTTTCAATACGTGTATTTCTAGTTTATTTAAATTGTGTTGCCCACTCAGAATATACTCAAGAATTCAACAAATCGAATGTATTTGACTTGTCCCGGGCCCGCCATAACGTTAATCCGGTACCGAGCCCAGCACCAGTTTTTGGTCACTTGGATGCAGATCACCACTACAAATGTAATTCCTTCAAATTCTATTTTTGATTGCTTGAATTGACATGTAAGGAACGAAGATTTGGGAAGGAGTTGGAGCCGGGCAAAGAGAGCAGAATTAAAATTAAAGTCTTTGGGGGGTAATTAATTACTCAGCTCAGTTGTCTCCCCTGCTGGAAACAGACGCGTTTTAAGTCTTTAAATTTAATTTTCTGTCAGATTTTGGTGGATGTTCATTATTTTCAGGCGGAAGCATCAGATAGAATACATTAGGGTGATCAGTTACAGACCACAGATTATGTTGATCACTTTCAATATTTTTATAATATAATTGTTACATGGGGTGGAGTGGGGCCGAATGGTTAGCGCGTACGCGTTGTATCATAAGGTCTGTCATTGAGTTAACTGGCGTGGTTTCGATTCTCTGCTTGTAAGGAGTAGGGTCCTCCGGTTTCCCCCCACTGCTAAAGACCCCTACGCGCAAGCGAATTATTGAAATAAAATTGAATCATATGTTAATCCTGAAATGACCTAGTTTGTGTCGAGTGGGCGTTAAAAAACATGTTATAAGCCAAGAAATGTCAGGAATATAAAATTAAGTCAGTAGAAAGAGAATTAGTTGTTGAAGGACGTCTCTGGATGAAGTTGTCCCCCTTTTACACATTATTGCCGCAATGATTCGTTTCCATGACAGATAGTAATCAGGACTCAGACTAGCAATTATTTGCCCATTGACTTTAATGTTAAATGGCTGTAACATCACAGGCTGTAGCTTTTTGCTCAATATTCCGTTGGTTCCAATCTTTATAGGCACAACGAGGACCACATTTAGCAATCTCCTCATCATAATTTTGTAGGGGGTTGATCGTTTAGATTTTTTTTTGCCAGCGGACGCATAGAAAGTCCGACAGAAGTCTTCTCCGACAAACCACAACTGGGGAGGAAACATAGAAACACCAACAGGCTCCGATAGCCGATTTTTCTCATAACTCCTCTAGTGGTTCGATAGGCATTCCTCAACCACCGATTCGCCTTTCTTGAAGAGCAGATTACACTGTAGTGTTAAATTATTGCTGTTCAAAATGGCTAAGTTAATAATTTCATAACTTAAATTATAATTTATTACTCTATTATGGCCCATGAGTTTGCGCAGAAGCCTTCCATTTGATCATCACGCGTTTAGCGAGCCAAAATGGGGTTCTTGGTGCCGTCCTCCTGGTCTGGAATATATATTTGCAAATTAGGCCTATTGGTGTGTGTGTGTGGGTGCGGGTGTGGGTGTGTGTGTGTGTGTGGTTGAAGTGTGCGTGGGGGGGGGGGGGAGAAGTAATCCCTCTTCACGTCCTCGCACATGTCAAGTCAAATATTTCAGGTCGATTCCTAGTGACCTATGCCAAGTAACAGTTTCGGACCTAATATTAATAGTCCATCTAATTCTTAATTAGTCTATCTGGGAGGTGCATGCCCATTTTTTTTTTCAAAATAATTTCTAACGACAATTTTTCCGAGCCCTTAGGCCATGTCTCCCTAAAAATATCCAGGGTGCATGTACCATAGGAACAGATGTGGCCTTAGACGTAATCCGGATGACTTGAGGAGCCGATGTTTTGTCAAATTGTCCGGAATTTTATTACATGGAAATTGGGGCCCCGGGCTGGGTATTCTTGACGTATATCGAAGTTGGTGAAATCGAGTGTGTTGCATCAAAATACCCCTGGGCCTGACCGAATTACAGAACCGAAAGCGCGAGAAATCTGAAATTTGGGCCGTGGCCCAAAACGGTTCCATGATATAGGCCCTATAGTTCAAAACCGCCAACCCCTACCCCTTGGGGCTCCGGTACCCCCAAACGTCCTATTTCAATCACTTTTAGATCTTCCGGGAAACTTGTCCTCGCGGTTATCCCCCCCCCCCCAAACCGATCCTTGTGTGTCGCGTGGTGCCCTTGAAGTTTTTCTACGGCAACTGGAAGTGGGTCAAAATGACGCCTAATGGTTAATTGACCTTGACCTCTGAGGTCAAACCAAGGGTCACTACGCAACTCCCAGGGGTCGGGTTAGTTTAAGAGTCCGCGACCTCAAGGTCGTCGCATTCGGTTCGGTTATCTTCCCTTTGACAACACCAGTAAAAACTATGCTATTTGACTTTCCTAAGGAATTTGTCCAAAAAGTGTCCCCCATTGGTCCGGGATTTGATGACTCGATAGACCGACCCCACCAGTCAGCAAACCTCGGCAGATTCCGTTATTTTACACCTAGCCTTGGCTGTATGACGGTAAGTGATATGTACCTACGCCTATACAATTGCGATGCGGCACCGGTTTACTTATTAGGAAAACTGTCGCTTGTTTAAAGAAAATCGGATAAACTTGAAAGAAAAACCGCTTAAAACTTTGAAATATTTGTATGATAAAACATGTCATGGGCAACGCCGTTGGTAATCCGGGAACTTCAAAGTAGTCCCAATGGCGGACTTCGTCATACAGCCGAGGCTAGATGTAGGGTACTGGAATCTGCTGATGTTTGCGACAATACATTTGTTTTTCATTTTTTAAAATCGCCCACCAAAAGTCGTGACCTTGACCAGATAGGGCCCCGGAAATATGCTCCTCCCTCTCCAGTTGTGTCATTTAAATATTTGGGTAGCCATGATGACCCAGCGAGAAAGGCGCTGGTTCACTAATAAGGGGAGTGATTTCCCTTAGATTTTCCACAGTGAATGGTACAGGACGTGCACGTAAAAAAAACAATTGAAAGTGGGAATGTAAAATAAGAGTAGGAGCGCTGCTTTCTCGGCAGAAATTCCCTTGGTTTTTCGTGCCATCCGAATGATTATACGCTGTCCTTTGCCGGGAGGAACCACGCCTAAAAATCCAGATGAACTTTCTAGCTCAACACTGGGATCTAATACGGAATCTCCAGGTTAGAACGCCGACGTCTTACTCACAGAGCCACCTTGCACCCCCGCCCCCCGCCCTTAATGGTGAGCAGATCCTGGTATTCTATTATTATACATTAAATGAATGCTGGGCTGTACTTTAATGTCTCGTTATATATATTAGTTCCTGCGCGTATTCACTCGTTGGAAGCATTATGTCTGTATAATGTCTGCCGATCAGTCGTTTGAGTGTAGTCAGCCAAGTTCCAAGAAATAATTACAACCCCAGAATAGATCGAAGCTGCCCAAAAATACACCAAGTCTTAAAGATACATTCCCCCGAAATTATTTATAGGGTAGTTATTTCGAATAAACGCATGGCTGTTCAAAATAGCACCAAGTCTTAAACATCGTAGAGGACAGCCACTTTGTACATTATTCAAGAGAATTTCCTTTAGAATTCACCTAGTTACCCTAGGCTAGGTTCGCCGGTACGTGATTATTACATCTTTGATCATTGAATGCGTAGGAACGAAGATTCAATTTAAACCTTAATAAGATTGTTATGTCCATTACTTCCGAAACGACCTTTTTCTTGAAATAGATATTCTCGATTATTGCCTAAGAAAGAAGATCTCTGAGTAAATAAACTACGTGTACGTAAGTTATAACCGATTTTATTATCTATTATCATGGTGAATATATATTTGGTAAATAATCATAATACAATTTAACCAATCATATACAACTATATTATGTGGATTAGTGACTTAGAGCAAATCCAATTTGATAAGACTGTCAAAAGTTCTACATATAAACTCATCAAGAAAAATAAACAGGCTATGTAATCACTAAAGGCTTTAATAAGCATCTGATTTGATGGTAATAGAGATTATATTGAATTATATCAAATATCTTTTCCACAATAATAGATCGGATCAATGGACAGCTATAAATAGCAGAACGTGGGTAATTCAAATTTATATTCGTTCTTTGAAGCCTTTAATGAAAGCGAGTTTTAACTACATTCAATTACAATTCATCCATAAGTGATACACATAATGACGTCAGATACGTTACGAACGAACAATTAAAGATAAAGGGTATGTTCAGACTGGTATCAAATAGGGAAGGAAAATAATAAAACAGCACGATAAATTATGTATATTCAAAGAAACATATCAGCTTTCTTTATCCATTCATTGTGCTTCCGCTTTTCCACCCCTACATTATTAACGACCACATATACGATAATGAATATGCTCGCGGTACCCGAAAGCGAACACTACAGTTTTCTTTCATCTCACACGTAAACAACTGTAGGCGTAAACAAATCCTGAAGCAAAATTAAAAGCTTATAGAAATATTACATTCCTTTGCAGTCTCGAAAAAACAATTCCCCGAGCACACTTCTTCAAAAAAAGGTCTCAGACCCAAGTTCCCCCACGAAAAAAGATTTTTCCCGAGCCTACGTCTTTAAATAAAGTCCTAGACGTTTCATTTTCTCTGGTACTACATTCATATTCCAGAAAATCCCAGAATCTTCCCGCGTGTTTTCACTATTCTAGAATGACATGAAGGAAACTAAAATAAAAGAAGCTCGTGTTAGTTTCCATCCTTTTTCTTATCGTCGTCGACCGAGTCCAAAGCGCATGGTTGACACTCTGAAACCACAAATTCTACCAGTTCGAAGATACTCTATTATTGTTTGTATAGTAATGCGGGTTGTATCACAACTATAGTCTTGCCTCTTACTCATCTCATAAAATGGATAGGAAATCAGGTCTTTAGACATTTTTTTGTAATCACGTAAAGTGTTGCTGTGTAACACACGTTTTCGAATTTGCAACCCACCAAGCAGTTCCGGGTTGTTTACCCACCGAAGACCCCAAAAATAATTTCCATATTTGCGCGGACTAGAAACTGGAGGTGTGTAAGAATAACTTTTATCGCCATAATTATCCACATCAGCTGCAATATCTGCAAAAAGAAAGAAAAAGGTGCTATAATTATACAGTTATATGTACATATACTATGTGTAGGATAACGCACGAGACTGAGGATATGCTGGGGAAAGAAAGGCGGAAGAAAATAACTCGAGGGTTTTTTTCTGAAGTCTTTCTTCCCCAGCATAACCGAAGTCGAGGACTTTATCTTGCTTATAAACCGTCTATGTTTACATGTACGCAAGATGAGAATATCCCAGAATTCCCGTAAGAAAAAACTTATATCATGTTTTCTTATGGAAAAAAACCCTACCCTGGGAGAATAATCTGTTACAGGTTTAAGGAAAAACTTTCAGAAGAATAACCCCAAATTTCCCTGTATATATCCAAAGCCGCCCCCGACTTTTAGACCGCAAGTTATTCCGGGCATAGAATATACCCCAAAGATCAAAGAGATTTACCGTTACAGGTTTATAATATACAATAAAAGTCAACCAGTCCAAGGATATCCTCCACTAAGTGGTATAGCCTACGAAGATTAAGGCCCGCTTTCCATGTATGTTTTTTCGTCAGGGGACACCGCCGGTGTTTCTACGCACGGCTTTTGGTATGTTCATGTGTACTGAAACAGTGCCAAAAAGTTCGAAGAATCTCACGTAAATGACGCCATAAGTAAGGGTTTTTTTCTGTACAGTGTTTAGGCCGATATTACTTTGGCTCACAATAGCCGTCTTAGTGAAATAACATAAACATGCACCGTGTCTAAAAAAATCTGCCATTTCAAGCTGAACATGCAGGAACAAGAACGATCGATTGAAGTATTAAAATTTGAACATAAACATCCGGTTGGACAAGCATGCGCATGTAGGCGCGAACATTTTCAAGATCGTGTAAATGTTTACACGGAAACGGTCCTATTGCATTTCGATTAGACTGACATGGAAAGGGGGCCTAACGCCCTAGCTTTCATACCACTTCGTGATATATACTGAAAGTTAACATGCACGAGAAATTTGTAAGCATAGTGTTTCTAAAATACATAATGCACATAGCTACATTTTTGTTATTTTTTTTGTAACTGTAATCTTTTCCAAGGACATGATATCGATGTGGTAGACAATTAATTGGGAATAGAAAGTCAAATGTATTCCATGTGTAACTGCAATGATGCCTCTGAATTACAGGTAATTTTGTCATAATCACCGCATGAGTAGTTAAGGGTAATATTCAACACCAGACAAGGATCAAGAACTGACATCATTTTATCGTAAACAGGAGGCAATTAGAGATCGACAATGTCCAGTGAAAAAACAGTGGTCGAGAAATCAGAAATGATAGTTTACAAAGTTGACGGTAAAGTCACCAGGTGCGGTCAAATTTCTTTTTCAAATCTGGAGAGACTTGGTCATATAATAAAGGAAGTGAGAGAGAGAGAGAGCGAGAGAGAGCGAGAGGGTTTAACGTCCACTCGACACAAACTAGGTCATTTCGGGACTAACATATGTTTTTTAAAATTTTATTTCAATAATGCGCTTGCGCGTAGGGGTCTTTAGCAGTGTGAGGAAACCGGAGGACCCGGAGAAAACCCACGAGGTTTGACATGCGACACTACTCCTTAGCACACACTAACCATTCAGCCATCCAACCCCGCAATAAAGAAAGTACCACGTTGAAATTAGAATGTTCGCTCGCAAATCGCAATAAACCACTCGTTAATACAGCGACTTAAATCTCGTGGGCTTGTCAATGTTAGTATAATTCCATTAATGAGATACCCAAAACTACTGGAGTGCTTGTTATATTAATTGCAGATGAAGCATCACATTTCTATTCTGTTACGATGCTCATCATGTTCTTAGGTGATGTGATATGGCTTTGTCAGTTCCTGGAAATGATTTGATATACTAAAACGACAATCCAGTACCCGCGGGAAACAACTTCTAATTACTGGAATCGTGTGTGCTTAAGGGGGAAGCGGGTGCTTTAGAAGGGAGATTGCTTTCCTACAATAAACAGCCCAACAACCTATGGCTAACCTTGCTAAAAAATACTTAAAAGGTTAACACCTAGATTGCTTTTAATGACCTTATTACTAAACCGTCTAATTAAGTAATTTGTATGTCGAAATTCTTCTCCTGCAAGATCAGTAAAGATGAAAATTAAAGAATTTTCATGTCGAAGTTCGTCGCGTGCAAGTCAACTACAAAACAGATAGTCTTTATTTATCTAAAAAAATAAATAATAATATAGTAAATGATTTACTGAACAAGTACGAGTGATTGACCAGGAACAAAGCATATCGTTATCGCCGCCATCTTAGAACTGTGATGTTATATCAAAAAATCGAAGTTCGCCAATAGATGCGCAATTGTCCAAAGAAGAAGAGCGACACGTTTTATGTCGATCGTACTTTAATTGGCGGCTTATTCCCAAAAGCACCGCCTCCTAGTACAAGTACAACAACGAGGCGAGTCGCACAGGGGATTAGTTCCTGGAACAAAACCTTACATCTTAGTAAAATGGTCATTAAAATTGCACAATGTCAATTTACAATATAAAATCACCAGAAGTAAACATTTAAACTTGTCATTCATCATGTAAAACCTGTCAAGACCGCGCCTGGTGGGTTTGGAATCGGTTTCATAACCCGTTTCGAAACGGCGTTTATCTCCAAAAGTGAACAAACAACCAATTTGAAACTGAATAAGATAAATATAAATTTTTTTTTCCAAATGTTGAAAACATTTCATATAAGAAAATATCAAAGCCTATTGTGAATGCAGTTGACAGAAATCAAATTTATTGATAGACGTGGTGATCTCCAAGGGTGACATATTTGTTCTTGAGGTGTATCACAATATGAAGAAAAATGACTGAGTGGGCCACGGTTTCACGCAATGAGTTATAGGTCAAATAAATGATAGACAGGAATAATCCCGAAATAGAGCTAATGTATAGCATAGCTATATATTTTATTTTATTTATTTTTATTTGTCTGTAAACGGTAATAGGACAGACACATTTTGATGACGACACCACGCTGGCCATAAAACACATAAATTCACTATTCTTTGATATAGTGGAATTTACAAACCCTCTATATTGGACAGTAAAATCAATTTCTTTGCAGCTACATGTATATGTTAGTGAATAAAACTAGACCCCTTTTATTCTAGACCTGGGCAACTATATGAAGGTTTGTGGTACCGTTTTCAAAGAGTCAGGTAGAGTTGGACACGAACGAAAGACGTGAACAGCGAATAACAGCGTGCACATAGACCTTTTTTTATTATGTAATACAGATTAATTAATGGATACATATTATTTCATTTAAGACAAATTCATTATACCAAGTCTTGGTGTATTATGCTGTTTTGCCTGATGTTTCTATGATAGAAATAAGACTTTAACATATATTTCAATATGTATACTTTTCAAAAAAAAGTAGGGGATATTCAGAAACAATACAAAACTTCGGAAATGCACTGCTGTTTTTGTAAGTGGTAACCAGTGTATGTTAATAACAGGCCAATTGCCTACACATGAACATAAACAGTTCATATGGGCGGCTTATCTGACGGCCCCATTTCACTCGCAAAGAGATACACCGTCAAAAGTGAAAATGGACGTTTTTGATTTTTGTCTTAATAATGAGTAATTGCTCCACCAATCCTCAGACATTCAGCAATTCGTCGTGGCATGCTCCAAATAACCAACCAATCACGATTTGGGATAATCTGACGCACTCCTCTTGCAGTGCTGCCTGCATAAGTATTTGCATTTCAATATCCTCTATTTCAAAAACGTATATCGCATCTCTTGGAATGAACAAGTTATACATCTACCCGTGTATATCGAAATTATACTTATATTGAACGATCTATTTTCAAGAATGAAAAGAAAATCGCTCGATATATTCAAAATTATTTTCACCTTTTTACTATTTCTCTGCCCAAGTATTATAAATCATATTTTTTGTATTTAGATGTATATCACATTACATGCTAAGTGAAACGAGAAGATGTGAAATGATAGAATTGGTAAACTATGCAAATCAGAGATTAATATCATTTTCTACTGCGATGTGCACAATATACAGACAGTTTGATTTAAACAATATTTTATTCATGGGATACCGATACCAGTCGATGGCTTTTATAAATCGGCTCCCCTAAACAATATACATTAATGATATATTTATTATGGTCAACAGATATATATTATTTAAGTGTCAGTTTACATGCTTAAAAAGATTACAGGAAGAATATGAGCATGTGTTAGCTAACATCAGAATCAAGAAAGGGTTGATACTTGACTGCTTAATTCAAATCAGTTTCACAAAACCGTGCGAGTTACTCCCGATCTTCTCCTTAAAATAAACATAATTTGGTGAGGTTGTGTGGTACGCAGAACTTGAATACATTTGTAAGACTCTCAAGGGATTGAGAACAACAATGTATCGAATTTCTGGTCGACATGGATAAGAAGAACTTACATTGCAATTATTTGGCGTAAACAATTATTATTAATTGTCAAATCGTTGGGTGGGTGGGTAAATGGGGGTGGGGGGAGTTTTGAGAGTGGTTTTAATGTGCTTGAGATATGTATTAGGAATTTGTAAAAATTATTATGTTTACCACAACGCCAGTTATTTTAAATTAATTGGCACAATATTTTAATTTATCAGTCTATTCTAGAAGTTAAAATATGTTTCCGCAGAGATTTGTGCCTGTCTTATATTATTTGTTTTATTGACACCTTTACAATTATATGATATATTTTATTATGAGCAAAATATTCCATAAACTAGTTATCACCTCATGCCTGGATAAAGCTGTATTTAGCCTGTTTCGTTGTTTTCTAACCAGTAACAGCATTTTTCAGTTTTTTACTGCAGTATGTGTTTACAAGGTAAATAACCCAATTCTTCACTTTTTTTGGATTTGATTTGTATACTTAATGGGATTCTTTCTTTTTCGGAGACTAAGTGACCAGCGGCTGCCAGGCAGGATACGCCCACATTTTGCAAGAGAT